CATGTCCTGTTGATACGTCCAAAACCACATGTAAAAAATTGAATTTACAAGGTAAGTTGTAACCAGTAATGTCTTGCTGCAATTTTTCAGTTTTCAATTATTTTTGTACGATGACACTCTACCTTATTAAAACTTTTCTTAACTAGCTCTCTGCATAATCTCAGTCTCTCTGGAGTGTGCTGCAAGCACACAGTGCCAGCTGCTGATAAGACAGGTGTCTGTCTGAGGAAAAACTGGTGCCTGCAACTTGAGTCAGGCCAGGGTGTGGGCATCTGGCCTGTGGTGCCAGCTGCTGGAGGCACTGGGGTCTAAGTGTCACTCACTGGGGTCTTGAACCTCCAGATGTGGAGCAGGAATGCTGTAGGTCCCTAAGCCAGCTGAACCAGGGCTCTGTGTCGTTCAAGGGCTCCTTGCTGGCATCTGGGGTGGGCTGATGGGAGGATGAGTGTCTCTGTCTTCCCCAGACCAGATATGGGGATGTGTGTCTGTAAATAAGTATAAAATGGCTTTCACGTTTGGATACAGTGAAAATACGGGACGGCAGAGCAGGCTGAGATGCCTACTTTATGTTTCTTCGTGATGCAGAGTATTTCTGCCCTCCACCCCCCTTCCAAGGTTTTGTCTAAAGCCTGATAACTGGATCAGAATGTCCTGAGGAATGTAACAGTAGCTGCTCAGCTGCAGCTACTCAGCCAGCCAAAAATAGGCAATAGATAGTGCGTTTCTTTCTCTCTTTTGCCTTCAGCTTCCATGAGGGCAGATACTCTTAAATGGCCGTACTTGATTCATCTCTATAGTTAATGGCTAGCAATTTTTTTACAAAGATTGGTTTTTGTTTCTTTTGTCTCAGAATTGTATGCAGCCACCTGGAAAAGGCATCTTTGATTCTGAGAAATCAAGTTTTTGTAAAGGAATTCTAACTTACTAAATTGCTTCTACATCTTATTTATTATTCTGTCATTACATAATCTCATTTTATTTCAGCTTTAATAAATATTCCAAATGTGACTGAAATAAAGGAAGACATGAACCTGGGCTTGACTCTGATACAGAACTCAAAAACAGGAGGATTTTTGGTATGTATCAAGATTGTATTCAGTATACACAGAAATGCCTGAGGCGAATGAAGAAACCAGAGTTCTCTACATTTTTTATAAGTCCAAGCTAAATATATTTTATTATGTACCACAGATTAGTACATCTTTTGCATATTTTAAAATATTCCATACTGCTGTCATTACCTAGGGTCCAAAATCAGGAAAATTGTGAAATCTCTCCTGTGTCATTTACCTGAATATCCTGTGGAAGGGCTTATAATTAAAGACTCACTAATTTAAATTGGACTATATAGGCAGGAATATTTCCATCATTATATTCTTTAAGGGAATCTTTTATAGTTCTGATTGTGTTTCAAAAGACTGTATGTGATCTCTCCTCCACCATATGCACTTGCACAGGGACTGTCCTCCTGAGGTGTTAGGATTTCTAGTCCCATGGATTTAAGAAGTGTTTCATTTGGTTAGTGAGCTGGAGGAGGATGCATTTTCTGTGTGTATATGCTGCAAACAACTGTCCTTGGAGCCTGTGAAACAGATTTCTTAATTGAAAGGAAGTGAATGCCTGTTTAATATGCCTTTTTTATAATCTTAATCATAAACATGAAAACTGTTGCTGTATAGGTTTATTTCAGTTTGATGTGTGCATTGTAGCCATGTGCAGTAAATAAGTTGGAACAATAAATTACAGGTAAAAGAGCTTTGAGGCTCTCTTTAAGCTTTGTATTTTTCAGTTGTATCTTCCTAGTAATCACAAAAGTATTCAAATATTTACTATATTCATTAACACATAGTCCAATTCACTGAAGTACTTAAAAGTAGGCCTAATTCCAATGCCCTTGCAGCTAGTAAAGTTATTCATAACTTCAAAATACAGCAAGAGTGCTTTTCTTGATTTTTGGTTTGAGAAGGTACTGATTTAAAAAAATCTTATTCTGTGTCTTGAATAATACTTTTAATTACCGTTAATGATGTCCCATGAATACCCACTTTTAATCAGTATCAGTAACTGCAGTGTTTTAAAATGTCTCATGTAGGAAAGGTTCTATTTTCTAATAATATTTGAACTTCTCTCAGTCAAAAAGAATTTCCTGATCTATGTGTTACTGATGGACCGTCCTTAAATTGCATGGAGGAAAAATGAAAAAAAAGATTGACTGGTAAGACATGAACAGCCATGTCTTTGGCAACAGGAGTTCTTTTTGACATATGGAGAATGGGATACTGAGGACAGGTGCTTATCTGTGACTCAGCCTCAACATGTATCAGAAGCCCACAATTGTGTCAAGTATTGGGCTACATGGGTAGAATGCCTGCTCATACTTGCACACTGCTGCCAGGCAGGACTTTGCTCTGGGACTCTGTCTGTGGCAGCTGGCCTTTGTGATGGGCTCTTTGGGCTGTGCTTAGGGCTTCCTCCTCCCAGCTCACTGTTCTCCTTCCTCCTGTGGCTGCTCCCCTCTCAGCCTCCATCCACTTGCTGCTTGCCCAGGCCCTGGGCTGCTTGCCTGGGGCATGACGCAGCCTGTAGAGTCTGTGCCGTAGCTGGTTCATCTGTTTGATGCCATGTGAATGCTTCCCACAGGTATCCTAAGTACAGGGCAGTCATTTCCCACACGCTCATTACATTTTTCTGAGGCATGCTTGGTCCTGTTGGAGGCATGCTTAAGAATTTCACTGACGGTTAACAACGTTTTTTTGGAGTTCTCATTTAAGTTTCTATCTGTTTGTTTTTGGGGCAGTGCTGCACCTTAGTTGAAAGAAACAGCTCCCATCTACTTGCATGTAAAATCTCCCTTCTGTATTTGACACCTCACAATCGCTCTCCTTTGTCCTTTGCTTTGTTAAACAAACATAGAGGTTTTTTGGCTGAAATGTGCTTTTTAAAATAAACTTCTCTCAAACAGGAGTGACCAGATCTAATCTGTATTCCACGTGAGTCTTTCCAGGGCATTATATAGTGTATTCGGTATTTCCCCAGCTCAACAGCAAGCGCTTCTTGTCACACATCATGAAGGCATATTTGCTTTGCATGCTGGCTCTGTGCATATGGTCACCCTGCAAATCAGCCACTGTCTGCTTCTCTCTCTTCCATTCGATGACCTTCCAGTTTATGTCCATATTTCTTAACATAAGTCCTGAAGGGCAAGTCTATGCCCCTTTCTAATATTCCACCTTTCAAGTTCATCAGTCCTTGATATGCAATCTCGCAGTTTTCCCCTGCGTTAATGATACATCTTAAATTTCTGACTGTAACGACGCTAGAACATTAGTTTTTCCCATTTTAAGTGAAGATCAGCAAAGATTATTAGAACATTTTTGCTTTTTCTTCCAATAGTGACATCATAGTTCTGACTTACCACCAATACAGAAGAAAATTAGAAAATGGGCAAATGAGATTGATCTCAAAAGAAATTTAAAGGCCAGTAGCTCTCCTCCAGCTTTGTAGTTACGAATACAGATGATTTATTTTGTACCTTTTACCTCTCAAAAATCTGTCTTTCCCAGTAAAAACTAATCATGCCTCATGTGGCAGCTAAAAAGAGCACTTAACGCAAGATCTGATAATGTAGATACACTTCCTTTCTCTCCTCTAGAAAATCTGCTGTCTGGTCAAATATCTTGGGATAGTGGGATGTGTGACAGGCTAGTCATACATAGGATAGTGTAGTCTGACTATTATTTTCCATTTACTTTTGACCTTAATTACCTTACCTTCCACTCCCACTCCCCCTCCCCTGCAGTATTCTCGAGAAAAGGGTGATACTGCTGTTATCCTTCTCTTCCTAAATAGAGGTGGTACATCCCCTGTTTACCAGACTTTCCTGACTAGGGCAACCAGAGAGTATATGTAAAGAAGCTATCATTTCTTACAGAACTGTTGGACAGAGGTTATGTAGAGGTGTTTGGTTTTGTGTGGTTTTTTTTTCCTGGTTTCCTAATATTATTTTCTTTTAGAAGGAAATATACCCCCCCCATACCCATATACAGCTGCCTCCCCATCCTCCTGACAAAATACTGTCTTAATATTTTTTCTGTCCAGGTGCTTTCGTACCTACTCTTCTGATATCAGAGCTGTGGTTTTCATGCGGCCAGCTCAGTTCTTGTTACAGAGATGGTTTTCATCAGGAAAGCGGGATTATTTTCCACGAAAGGCAATGAAACATGTAGCCAAGGGGCGTGAGAGGCCGGGGTCAAACTATTTCTTTTAGTGTGGCAGAAGAGGGGGCAGTGCTCACTGTGAGGCTGCAGTCCCACTGGAGATGATGTAGTTTAACTGGTAAATATTTTGGCAAAGCGAGTTTCCCTCAGGGACGCGGCTCCCCTCAGGCGCAGCCGTGAGGGCCGAGCTCTCTCTCGGCCGCGCTGTCGGTGTCACCACCAGCCCCGTGCCCGGGGCGCTGCCGCCACCTGGCGGCCGCGGGCGGCGCTGCAGCGCGGCCTGGTCGGCAGGAGCGCCCGGGCTGGCAGCGAGGGAGAAGGAAAACTGCGCCCAGCCTGCGGGACTGGGGTCATCCCGGGAAGGAAATCCTCCCCGTGAGAAAGCCTGTGAAAGCGGCTACACTGACTGAAGGGATTTGGCCTGGTAACCCAAGAGGGCTCCCCTAATCCTATATGCTTCTAGTCCTCCTTGTTGTGGGTTTGTACCTATATGCCTGTAGTCCTGCTTGTTGTGAGTTTGTATGTAGATACGGTGAGACAAATACTTTGTTATTTTTATAGTTTCTTTTTTTTGTTGTTGTTGTTATTTTTAAGACTTGTGGTCCCTTGTGGGCACAGCAGTGTGGAAGACAATACTATGCAACAGGAGTTTGTTCTGAAATCAGTCCAAGTTTCCAGATCCTAAGAAGCTTTTCTCCTGCTGTTCAAAGTAAGGCAACGTGTGCAAAACGGAATCAATTAAAACAAAACAAAACAAAAAAAATAAAATTAAAAAAACCCAAACAAACGAAAAAACCACCAAGAAACTAACAAAAAAAACCCCAACCAAAAACCCATATCAAATTAAGTTAAGCTACCTTGTGTTGGGGACGGTTGATTTTGATTTCTTAAAAAATGTATGTGCCAAAAGCAAAGTCCTGTGATAGATACATAAGGACTGAAAAATCATGACCCAATGCGGATATGAATATGGTCTTGCTCCTCTGTATTCAGAGGCATTGCACCAGTCCAGGCTGCAAACCTGCATACACTTCTTCTGAGTCCTCATTCTGGCAAAGCCTTCTGATCTGAAGTGTTGCCTGTGTGAGACCTAGATAAAGAAATAAACCTTTGGATTTAGGTGAAGGGTATATTGAGACTGCAAGTGCTTTTAATGTCCACTTTTTGTTTTTGTTTTAGGGTGTTCCTCTGTTATAGATGTGGTCGTGGTTTGTGATGAGTCAAACAGCATTTATCCCTGGGATGCAGTGAGGGCGTTTTTGAAAAAATTTGTACAAGGCTTAGACATAGGCCTTAACAAGACCCAGGTAAGTCAAAGACATATTTGAGAAAGACCAAAAAAAAAAAAAAGAAAAACACCAAAAAACCCAAAACAAAACAAACCCAACCAATTTTAAAAGAAACCAAATGTGATTTAGTGTAACTACAGTACCTCCCCCAAAGCCGCAGATTATGCAGTTATCCTATTCGGTGTTGGGGATTTTATCTGACAGCTAGCCTATTTCAAAAGGGATTAGTAATTTAATTTGAAATATAAACCAATTGAAATAGAAATCTAGGTTATACGTACGTGAATCAGATCTCTTTCATTCATTTGGTGTAAAAGTAGTTAAAAAATAGTCTGTTGGGATGTAGTTAAAATATAGTCTCTTGGGATGTGGTTAAAGTAGAACAGGTTTTTAATGGGCTTTCATACAGCTCTTACTTTCCAACTGCTGCATCTTTAAAAAAGGAGTGTTTCCTTCTGAGTTACTAATTGATTTTTGAGTTCTGTTTTCCTTTTAATTTGGTGATGGTAAGGAAAATTTTATTGCCTTCTGTCTTTACAGTTGTCCATTTTCCATAAACAGCTCTGGGAATAAAGACTGGGGCACTGGAAATCTCTCTCCCAAAGCCTGCCTTCTTCCTTTGGCTACTTTGGAAATGAGGTGCTTAAAAGCTAGGCTTCCTTCTTTATGAATCTCACCTTTAGCACCTTCTCTTTTTTTTTTTAAACCCTATATTAAAAATAAATAGGGTTTGCAATGCTGCAAAGTAACCAATCTTTAGGACTTCCTTAGAAGAGATCAGAGTGAGGTGCTGTCAGCTTGTAGAATTTTTGCTATTTTCTTATTTTTCCCAGAGCTCCTCATATTGTTACTATCCATAAGCTCTTTCAGAAGTAACCAAGCAAACATTTAATGTCTGCTGTTTCATATTTTTGCATTAGGATATTGTAGTCCATAATAAATGATATAAGGTGCAAGAGCATTTTAGTTTTCTTTGTTTTCCACATGTTAATATTAATTGGTGTTGAAAGAAAACGATAACCTCATGTGCATCTGCAGGGCTTTAATTCCAACCTGATATAAGTAAGCATAATGGTTCTATGTAACTAATTGTAATTCATGATAATCTGACATAATTTTTTTATTGCATAGGTGGGTTTAATTCAGTATGCTAATGATCCCCGTGTAGTCTTCAACTTGAATACGTATCAAACAAAGGATGAGGTTGTTAAAGCAATGGAGAGAACATCTCAGAAGGGAGGAGATCTCACTAATACTTTCAAAGCCATTGACAATGCAAGGTGGGACACACTGATGATTACTGTGCAACTATTGTAACTTACCTTAAACAGCAAGGAGAACATTCTGAATTTCATTCCCACCAGGAGACAATTTGCTCAGGGCCTCTGAGTAGGTTCCCAGTGGCAGGCAGAATCCTGGCCATTGCAGAATGGTACAGGCATATGTAAACTAGACTTGCTGAAAAGCATGTTGTTAAACATTGGGTTAAACATTACACTAACGTAATTCTGGTACCCAACAGAGTTGCTTTTTCTGTCACACGTGTTTAAACATGACAGTGCATCAAACACAGTGGACAAGGTTTTAGGAAAGATACAAAACCATTGAAAGAAGAAAAAGTTTATCCGGGGTTTCAGTTGGGCCTGTGAGATTGGTGTTTGTAGGTCAAGCTTTGGTTGATTGCAGAGAAAATAAAACCTCTTCTCTGTTGTCAGTTTGTCAGTGCAGCACCAGCAGCATGAAAAGTAGGAAAAGCTTAAAACAATATTCTGTGACTCTGAATACGTATACAAACCAGGTCTGTTTCTCAACAGGAAGATGCTGTTTTTAAGCTGAATCAAGGACAGAACTCTAGACCAAAATGCATGGTGAATCAAATGGCCTTGAAAATTTTTTTTTAAGAGCAGACTCAGCCATCAATGGAGTAAATATTTGCAGTAGTATTGAGGAGCCTATAATTAATTCTCCTCCACTTTTTTCTGAACTTGGTGATGCCAGTTTCTGGTGTCATAAAACTTAAGTAGTTCTAACAAAACCCACTTTTCGTTTAGAAATATTTGTACCAAAAAAAATTTGGTTTTCAGGGAATTTACATTTCTATCAGAATTACTATCCAGTTCTTCCAGTCCTACTATTTTTATCTTCTAATCCTTTGTACATTTCTTAGGGCTCTTTGAGCAGTGGTTTGTGAAGAAGTTATCAGGAGCATAACTGAAAATTCTTATTGCAGATTGTTAATTCACAAAGAAAAATCCACTACAGAAGCACCTTGTTCTAAACCAGTGATGGACATATTCATTACAGCATATGTACTGAATTCCATCCATTATAGACTGACATGTATGTTTTATAACAGACAATATGCCTTCTCACCTGAATCAGGAGGACGTCCAGAAGCCACAAAAGTAATGGTTGTTGTGACAGACGGTGAATCACATGATGGCTCCAACTTGAAAACAGTGATAGGTAAATGCAATGAAGACAATATAACCAGATTTGGCATTGCTGTAAGTAATACTAAAATTATATAATATTGCAGTTTTTAAAGATTGTTTTGTTGTGCACGTATGAAAGGGCATGTTCTATGCATAAGCACTATATAATGCGTGCATTGTTGCACTGGTGAGACTGAAATGCAACCAGATTAATCCTTATAAACTAGTGAAATACTAGTCTTCTTTACTGGCTGAAAGAGCAAAACTAGTGTTTCCTGAGCAACTTAAATAATTTTCTCTTTTGCCACGTTTTATATATTATTCCTGTCTGAATGCTCCCTTGCATAGGAATACAGTCTGATAAGCAATTCAGTAATATGGATGAAGATGGTTCTTTTTTTTTAATTTGTAGAATATTTGCTCAAATAATACAGAAGGAAATGGGGTAACAGTATGATTTTTTTCACTATTCTCATTTTGCTGTTTTTTTTTTTTACCCAAGGTTTTGGGATACTTAATCAGGCATGAACTTGATACTAAAAACTTAATTAAAGAAATCAAGGGAATTGCTAGTCATCCAACAGACAAATATTTCTTCAATGTGTCATCTGAGGCTGCACTGCTGGAAGAAGCAGGAACACTTGGAGAGCGCATTTTTAGTATAGAAGGTAAAATACTCAGTGTCTCTGAAAAATTAGATCAGATTCTCCCAGCTGACAACCTAAGAATTTTATTTAGCTTCAACTTAGAGTAGGATTGTGAAAATGAGAGGCAGCTAGAGCTGCAGGCTACTCTCTGCTCACCAGGAAGGCTCTGGTTTGCACAGGTGTTCTCCCAGCTACTTCACCCCTAATAAGCCCGAGCTTCAAGTTAGTTTTTGCAGTTTGCGGAAAACATTTCCCAGTTCATGAAAATTTCTGTCAATTCATCATGGGCTTCAGGCATGGGGGTTTGTCTATAATGTGTCCAAATGTATTTGGAACTATTACCATCATCTTTATGCTTGTCAGCTGCACCTCTGTGAATGCTACGCAACTGTAAATTTAAAAAACAAATCAGAAGACTTGCTTACTGATTTAGGAACTGAAAAGCTACAGTAGTACAATCTGTGTGATGCCTACCAGGTTCAGTCCCTAACATCACCCATGCTTTTGTGTACCGTTTGGAGGAAGGAGTTGCAGAGGTGACTTGAAGACACTTTGTCACCCCCAAAGCCAGCTTTTAAATTTTAATTTAAATTCAGACCTTGCTCCTTAATGAGCTGCAGCCTTCCTGTACTCAGGATGGAACTTCCTTTCTCTGCCACCCGATCTATTCTTTACTGGTCCCATGCTGCTAGTCAAAGTAAGAGGATAGGTTGAGCTCCTTATCTTGCTTTTTCCTGAGTACCTGAATTGAATTCCCATCCATCTACTTTAGGAAATATTCCCAGATGGCACAGTATTTTTCAAGACAATTACAACAGTTTTTATAAATCCTATATGACAATAAACATTCGTATTCTGTTTGAAACTTGTGACTATACAGTCATTTAAGCTGCTAATTTCAGTGTGTTATTAATGCTTCCTAGGAAATACAAAAAGAGATTAGCCACAGTGACAAGACTGTGCAAGCCGATTCAGACTATCTTTATCATCATCTTCTGCCTTTTTTGGGAAGACATTTATAGCATTATGGTTCCATTTTATCAATTTCCCGTTAAATCCTCCAAATTTTCTATAGTTTATCAGCTCTGATTTCCATTGTTTGTAAATGCTTTAGCGGAATTGGTGGATATGTACAGTCCCTATATAGCTAAACTCACAGGCAGTAAGATTGGGTCTTGTGTGGCTCTAAAGGGCTAACCACATGTGGATATCTGTTTTACCAGGTACGGATCAAGGTGATACTTTCCAAATGGAAATGTCACAGGTGGGCTTCAGTGCATATTACTCACAAAAAAAGGTATGTGAATATAATTATTTAATGATACGAGTAGATGTAATTATGTAGACATGAGTGCAACAAAATAAGAGTAATAAAGCACATTGTCCAATTTTAAGATCTTTTTTACAAGCAGGTGAATGTCAAATTATTCTTTTAATTTTTCCTGTACTTGAACGCCACTAATAGATGGTGTATATCTCTAAAATGAAAAAAATATGTATTAATATGTGACACTGAATAACAGTTTCTTTCATTTAATGATTTTGAGATGTGTTAATACAATGATTTCCATGATTTCTGAGTTCATGTAGCAGGGAAAAATCAGTTGTTCCATGTTTGTATCTTGGAGTTGAATAACTCAGAAGAATTGAAAGTAAATTGTGAGGCTGGTATATTTCTCGGAAGTCACCAAAATATAAATAAATCAAGTCTGAAAATAACTTAGTAATTATAAAATTAATAATATTTCTTTAAATCATATTTCATTTAGAAATTAGAAAGAACATAAATCGGATATATGTAATGCTAATAAATTTTAAGATTATCTTGACCAAATAAGTCCTCTTTGTAAAACTCAAGTGTGGTTCAATAAGCTTTCAAGTGAAAATACGAGAAGGTTGTTTCTTTTTTATAGCCCTTAAAGATGAATGAAATAATTTTTACAAGTATTTGCACAAATTAAAGTTTTAAATTATGAAGCACTTGATGCTAGGAAATAAGAAACATTTGGACATTCCTTCAGGAAAATTACACATCCAGTTTTATTGTAGTTTTCTCTAACAGTATCTCAGTTCAGTGAAGAATTTTAATAATTTGAATAAACTAAACTGTGTTTGTTTTCTATGTACAAGTCTAAGACTAAGTATTTCTGTATGAAGTATTCTGTATAATAAGCCATGTTAATTTGGAGTTTAGGTTTAACTGTTCTCTCAAGAACATCTCCTCGTATAAAGAATGAAATTCTCTATCTATTTCTTGTATCTGTCCTGTATCAGCTATACTGTATCTGTCAGCTTTTGTGTGCTGTCATTGGCACTTTCGTTGTCAAAAAGGGGGCTTTAGCTTTTTCTCACAGATTTGTTTGCATGTTCTTCAATCTTCTGAGGATCATGAGTGCATAAAAGCATTGCCTTAGCAAGCCCAACCCCAGGGTGGACAGACTTAGGAAATTGTGTTTAAATAAACCCATTTTATCTTGAGTTGCAGTGCCATGGGAACTAAAGTGGTCACTTATCCTCTTGCGGGAGAGGGGTGATAATCCCTCTTAATAGGGCAGTGAAGTCCTACATGTAAGTGGTAACTATAAGCAGCTCCAGTCAACTGCCTGCAGTTGGATTGTACAGTCTTTGGATTGTACATCACTGCTTTAAACACAGCGATATAGAAAATTATCTATGATAACTTAAGCTTTGCTCATACTTTTTCTAAATCAGGTAGTTCTAAAATGTTGACTTTTTTTTTTTTTTAAAGGATGTTCTGCTGCTGGGTGCTGTTGGGGCCTATGACTGGAGTGGAACAGTAGTACAGGAATCTTCAGACAGAGTCACCACCTTTCCAAGCCATGTGTTTGAGAAGATTCTACAGGACAGAAATCATAGCTCATATCTAGGTAAGGGGCTGAAATACAGATTTGGAAATTTATCGAAGCTTAATTAAAATAGAAAAGTACTTGGAAAATTCTCCTCTAGCCATATCCCTGTTACGAACTGATTTGAGAATATGAAAAGAATTTTCAGTTGAAAAATATTTAATTTACTGGACAACAGTTCATTGAATGATGTCTTTATTGTGTTATTAAATTCTACTCATACCAGTGTGGTAAACTGAAAAAAAATCAGACTGTGTCACTGGTGTGGTTTAACCCCAGTCAGCAGCTAAGCACCACACAGCCACTCACTCACTCCCCTTGGTGGAATGGGGGATAGAGTCAGAACAGTAAAAGTGAGTGAACTTGTGGGTTGAGATAGAGACGTAACAGTGACTTGGGAAGACAAACGCCAACACTCTGAACGTACCCCCTTCTTCCTCCTTCCCCCAGCTTTGTATGCTGAGCTCGATGCTATATGGGATAGGATATCCCTTGGGTGAGCTGGGGTCAGCTGTCCTGGCGGTGTGCCCTCTCAGCTAAAACATCTCTCTGTTATCAACATTATTTCCAGCATATATCCAAACCACAGCCCCATACCAGCTGCTGTGAAAAAAATTAACTATATCCCAGCCAAAACCACCACAGTCACAGAGGCATAATAAATCATGGGATTTGAAAAAACTGCCTAGTGAATCATTATGGGTCCTTTCTGTTATATTTGTATGTTCTTCCCCAGTTCCATGTGGATAAGAAGCTGATTGACTTGCTGTTGTTTCATATGTGCTTGCTATTTTCTTGGCCTTTCCCAGTTCAGCTTATAATTTTAGAAATATTGCTACCATTTAATAGAGGTCTTATATATAATTCCCATATGTATTCTTTGACACATTTTTGTGACCCAATAAAGCCAGTCAGTTTGTATTCTCAGTTCACTGAAATGTTTTCTGCAAACCTTCAACATGCCTGCTCTGATGATTTATCCCTGAATATGCTACTACATTAAACACCTGTGACTTCCTTAAAGTTATTAAATAAGATGCTATTTTTGCAACTAACATACTCTTTTTTCACCTATGACTCAGCATTACTTGAATCCAAAACAATGAATAAATCTAAACCCAACCTAATGAGGAGTAGCTTTTTTTCATGTGTGACCTCTTCAGACTTTCTCTTACTTCCTTTTTATAATAGTTTTTAAAAAGTCAGGTCACTTCCTTTCTCTACATGGCAGTTTTAGAGTATTTACTTCAGTCTTTTTTTGAGAAAACAATGTTGTTGTCTTTTCATTTCCCTTCCACCTTCTGTCCCCCACTAGGAGCTCTCCATACCAGCTCTCTCTCACCAGCTTGGGGGAGCACAAGTTTAAGAGGTGCTACCACATGACAGCTTGCTAGATTGGTCCCTGTTCTGCACTGCACTCTTTCACTTCAAATGGTTGCATGCTATATTAGTCGGGAACGTGTGTCCTTAAATTGCAGAATAAAATCGTGTTTCATTGTTG